GCGGCCCGGCTCCCGGGGCCCAGCCCGCCCCTGGCCCTGGGAACGCGGCGGTTTCGGGCAGCAGAACGGGGCCCGCGCGGCCGGCACTCTGGCCTCTTCCTGCCGCTCTGCCCCCGCACTGTGGAGTGCCAATGGCCCCGGGAAAACGCGGCTCTCCCCTTCCTCCAGGAAGGCCGCCCGGGTTAGGCCGAGGACGCGGTATCCCCAAGCTCGGAGCCAGTTAGTCGGGCCAGAGGTCCGGCCGTTTACGGTGTCAGGGGTGCGGGTGGCTCCTGGACGTCGGATAATCCCCAAACCTGCCTCCCTTCCTCGTTCTCCTTCCTACCCCACACCGGCCCAAGAGGAACGGTATGGCCACAGTGTGACAGTTCAGGACCCTTCTTTTTTCCCCTTGCCCAGGGCACCATGACTTACCCGGCCCCACCCTGCGTCCTGACCGGATAGAGGCCCCGAGATCCGGCCGTCGGAGCGCGAGGAGCGCCGCCCCGCGGCAGGTCACCCGCGCACCCCGCCCGGGAGGACGGCGACCTCTCCGCCCCCTCGAATGCCCCGCCCCCGTGTCCCCATCGGTCCCCACCCCACCACCGGCACACACACGCACAGACTCTGGCTGGAGCCGCCCTTGGTGTCAGTGGCCCGGCTCCCGCGTCCGCGCCGGCTGTCGTGCATCCTCAGCACCTGTCGGTCGGTGTGTCCGGTAGCCGGTGCCCCTGACTCCGTCGGGGCCAGGGAAGGCCATGGTTTCCCTGCCCGGGCCCCCTGCGACCAACTTGCTGCGGTTTTTGTTCCTGGGGCTGAGTACCCTCGGTGAGTGAAACCCGGGACCAGGAGGGGACTTGAGATGGGAGCTGGAGTGAATCCGACCCTGAGGGAGGTGGTTTGGGGCACTGATGAGGAACTGGGTGGGACAGGACTCTCACCTCTGACTCTTGCCCTCCCCGGCCACTCTGGACATCACTGGCTGGTGCTGACTTCTGTCCCCGCTGTATCCGGGACAGCTCCCACTTTGGGTGCGGTGTGTTGGTGGGGAGAGAATGTTAGAGCATCACCTGGGTAGACCTCAGGGGTGAGCTATCAGAACCATTCCTCACCCCCCGCTCCCCACCTCCACCTAGCAGAGCTCCCCACCTCCACCCAGCAGAGCCAGATGAGATGAGCTGCTCGATGAGACACTGGCTAAAGAGCTTAAGGACTTAACTCAAGCCCCCTCCGTTCCCCCCACCCCACATACAAGCCCATGCGCAGAGCCCCGGAGAATTCCCTGGTCCCCTGGCTTCACACACGCTCTTCATGGCAATTCCCCAGCCTAGATCCTCCCTCTTGCCCCCTCTTCCTGCTTCCTGCCCTGGGAATCAAGGGAGGTGCCCCAAAAGCATGACCGTGAGGTCATTTGGGACACAGGAAATGGGGGAAGGGTTCGTTCGAATGCCTAGAGGAACAGAATTGTGATCCCCCCACCCCCAGAGATCTACTACCCCCATTGGTTCCCAGAACCAAAGGCACAAAGCAAAGAGTCAGAGAGGAAGGGCGCCTCTTGAAGCAAATGCTTGAGGAGTGTTGAAGGCTTCCAGAGGCACCCAGGAACTGGGGGTGGCCCAATGAGACATCTGGGGAGAAGAGGACCCAGCAGGAACTAAACCCACCATAAGCTGTTTCACTTGCTACCTCCCAGGCTTTCTTGCCATTCCTCTTCAAGAATCCTGAATGAGGGTGAAGGGTGGGTTTGTCGAAGTCAGCTTTAACTCCTCATTTCTCTCAGGTTGGAAGTTGCCAGGGCAAGTCAGACTGGGAAAGATGTAGCGTGAAATTCAGCCACGGTGATGAGGACTGAGGTGGGGACCACTTCTCACTCGTGTCCCTGTTAGCATGGTCTGCAAGGGTGTTGGGGCATGAAGTATTAGGGTCTCCAGACAAAGTGTGGGGCTCAAGGGCAGCCACGGCACCAAAACCTATACAGCTTCCTGCCCCTCCAGACTTGGTGGGCCTGCCCCAGGATCCCTCAGCTTCTCAGCCCGCCTCTCCCAACTTCAGCCTTAGCGCCTCTTTCCCTTCTGCATTCTACCCCCAACTGCCCCATCTTCCTACCTGGTGGGGGCCTCCGAAGCAGGGGAGAAAAATTCAAGTTTGCTGCCCAGGCATCATCTGCAGCTCTCCTGCAACACCTCCTTTTTCTGTCCGAACTCTGAGCCTCAGTTTTCACACTGACGGCCCAGGTTCAATGTTCCTACTGGGGATTGCTGAGCTCCCGCCAGCCACTCGAGAGTTAAATGGCCCTGGGGTCCCACGGCGCTTCGAGCAGGCACCCGGCTCTGCCCGACGGCTCCCTGCGAGGCCCTTCCGTCCCGCGCAGAGGCTCAGCGCTGCTGCCCCTGGGGCGTGAGAAGCCCGCGGGGGGAGTTTCTCAGAGAAAGAGGGAGACTAAAAATAGTAGGCCTGGGGAGCGGGCCCATTTTCGTTCTCCTTCAGCCGTTGCCTGCTCCCTCACTCTGGTCTCCGAGTGGGCCAGAAGGGTTGCTTTCTTGGGCTGCTCCTGTCTCCACTCAGCCCCAACCACCCCGTTTTTCTCTCCCTATGGTACTGTGGACTCTGAGAGCGAAAAGGAACGAAGAGTTGGGGGGCTTCTGCTCCAGCACACACCCAGGACGAGGGCAGGGAAGCCTCAGGCCCTCTTCAGCCTCTAGTTTCTGACTGGGGGCACAGGACAGAGAGCGTTTGCCCAGACCCCAGTGTGTCCGTTACTATCTATTTTAACCCCCGTCTACCTTTTGCAAAGTGAAATTATAAATGCAGGGCCTGGAAGGGTCGCTGGGGCGTCTAGGGCGAGGAATCTCGCGCCCCTCCCGGGACCCAGGCAGGTTTCCCGGCGGGAACTGTTTCTGGCCGCAGGGAGCGTGTTGCAGGAAGGCTGCGGAAGAGCCGCCACGGCCCGCAGGCCTCCTGGCGTTCCTGGCTTCGGCGAACAGGTCCCCAGAGGGCGTTGGGCTCCTTGAGGCGGAGGTTGTTTTCGCCTGTAGAGCCTCCGGTCTAGCGGCCACCCCCCGTCATTGTCTTCTGGCTTATCACTGGGCACAAGTTTCCTGGCCGGCCCGCAGGGACCCGCCAGGAAATGGGGAGGGGGGTGCTACAAAGGCCGAGGAATAGGGGTGGTGGTTCTGCAAAGACGCGCAGCCGGGAAGCCGTGGGGGTGGCGTGCATCCTGGCCGGATCCGCTCCTGGGCCCTCAGAGGCCTTCAGTCCGGCTCCAGGATGGAGGAGAGCCGGCATGCGGACTCTGTCCACGCGTTGGCCGCCTGGCCACCATGCGGAGGTGACGTCTCAGACTCCGGTACAGAGTGCTGAGGCCGAGGGAGAGCAGGGCCAAGGACTAGGGCGGCCGGCATTCTCAGGCCTGGCCGGGTACAAACCCAAGGTGATTCCCCCAAAGGGCTTGCGACTCAGGCTGCTCCATTGCCTCTCCGAAGGGCCAAAGAGTGTATTCCTGGACGCCATGGTGCAAGCGTTGATTCCAGAATCCCCTCCTCGAAACCGACACCCCAGTCCACCTCCTGGACCCTGGACACAAGCTTTGTACTTGATTGTTAGGGGACCTTCATTCGTCCCAGCTCTGCTATGATTCTCTGTGACCTCAGAGGATCTGCCCAGATCGCTTGGACCCCAAAGGGCCCTTGCCAGCTTTCTGGGTCTCAACTCGCCGCTTTCCTGGGGAAGCCCAAGTGTCCGGACTGAGCGGGAGGCCAGGGAGCACCGCAGCCAACTGGGCCACGTTGGGCGCTGGGCCGCTCCCGTCTCTTTCTCTGAGCAGTTCAGAAGGGGCCGCGGGGTTAATCAGTAACCGGGTAGCCTCCCAACCCCCTCGGCCCGTGAGGTTGAGAACGCAGGAGCGAGGAACGCTGGCGATCCTGACCAGCGTCACGACTCCCCCTTCCCCGAGGAGCTGGGGGAGCAAGTGGGCTAAGTAGAGTGTACCTTAAAAGTATTAAATCTGCCCTTCCTTTTGGATGTCTTCCCCTCCCCGCTGGAAATCTGCCTCCTCTTCTTGGTGCTCCGAAATCTGCGCCTCTGGATATAAATAAATGCATAGAAATGTGTCCCTATCCCCGCTACAAACCCACGGGCCGAGGTTGGGGAGAATAAACTCTGATGAAATGGAAAGCAGGACACTAATTTAGCGGTCTCTGGGCAGTCTTCGAGGCCTCTAGTGGCGGGACCCCGCAAGGCTCGTCCTTCCTGTTCTCGGGACTTTCGTGACCCTCTCCTCCTGCCGAGTTGGGCAGGGTCCGCGGACCCAACGGGAGCCAGCCCTCCGCGCTCACGCCTCCTTGATCTTGTCCCCAGCATCCTCCTCGCGGGCCCAGCTGGACCTGCACGTGCCCGCCAGCCTCACTCGGTTGCAGGCGGTAGAGAGCCGGGAAGTGGTGCTCCCGGCGTGGTACACCCTGCGAGAGGAGGGGTCTTCTGCCCAGCCGTGGGAGATGCCCACCGTGATGTGGTACTTGGTACACAACGGGAAGGAGTCGGAACAGGTGAGGGAGGAAAGCATCTCAGCCAGAGGCTAGCTGTGCCCAGTGGGGGGCGTAGAGAAGAGCTGACAACAGTGGGGGGAGGGGTGGCCTGGGAATGGGGCACAAGGAAGAAGTCGCAGGGAAAAGCAAGGTCCTCCTCACAGGTTGAATTTTTTGTTCTGACTTTGGAGGCTTCCCAAAAGAATTCTCTTTCCCCAGCTTTTCCTAGGAATCCAGCACACAAAACACTGAAAAGTGGAGTGGCATTTTACTTTGCTTTAGGGAGTGGGGAAGTGAGGATTGGGGGGTGAGGAAATGAGAAGGGTTAGAGCAAGTATCACACAACTTTTAAAGTTGAGCATCTTTCTGTTTTCACATTCTCTGTGCTTTGGACACTGTCACAGGCCACTTCTTTTCCCAAATGATTATCTGTCCTGCTGCCCCTCTATACCCCCCTGGAGAGGCAAGGGCCAGTCTCCTCCCACAATCTCCCACCTATCCTCCTTCCTCACATCAGACTTATATTCAGAGGTGGATTTACCCAGAAGGCAATGAAACTTCATTTTCAGAGCCCCTTACTTGCATGGGCTCCTTCCAGGCCCTGGAAAGTGTGTTCAAAAGGTCATTTGATAAATAGGGGGTATGTATGAAAGAAACCTAGATTGCAGGGGTAGATCCAGGTTTCATAGGGCTTGAACTTATACATTTGGGGGGTGGAGACATCTTCTAGAAAAAGGAGATAAAAAAAGATATATATATATTACATCTTGGGTCTACCCCTGCAGTCTAAGTTTCTTTCATACATAACCCCTATTTACATTATCCCTTGCCCATTACACCACCTTTCTAAACATACTTTCTAAGTGGTGATGAAAAGACAATGCATAGGCGACCAAGAACTGTTCTGGTGAAGAGCACCCAGGGGCGGCGAGAGGGTGACCAGGGAGACAGGGGGTGAGTGAGGGGCTGGTACAGGTTAGAGGGGATGGTGCAGGTGATGGGCATTTGAAGATTGCCAGTTTGGGGGAGGGAGATTAGCTGAGCCTGAGGGTACAATGCATACATGTAGTAACGGGCAGGTGTTCTGCCCCACACCAGGTGTTGGCGTACATCAGTGGGACCCTGTCAAGCAAACCTGGAGCATCCCTGGTCTACCCCATGCCCTCCCGGAATGTGTCCCTGCGGCTGCAGGGCCTCCAGGAGAAAGATTCTGGGTCCTACCTCTGTTCTGTGAACGTGCATGACAGTCAAGGCAAAAATAGGGGCCATGGCAGCAAAAGTTTAGAACTCGATGTGCTGGGTAAGTGGGAAGCACACCCTCTCCAATACCCCCCACCCCCACGGGAGGCCAGGCAGGTCTCTCCCAAGTGGCTGATGTAAAGGTTGGAGGAGGGACAAATGGAATGACAGAGGGTATGTGTGTGGGAGTGGGGGGGATCTGTTGGTCCCTTCGGTGTGAGATTTTAACCTGTCCCCCTCCCCCAGTTCCTCCAGATACTCCATCCTGCCGTCTCCTGGGCGTGCCCCGTGTGGGGACCAACGTGACCCTGAGCTGCCGGTCCCCAAGGAGTAAGCCCGCTGCCCAATACCAGTGGGAGCGGCCACCTCCATCCCCTCAGGTTTTCTTTGCACCAGTTTTAGGTGAGGGAACTTCTGGAGACAACTGAGACTGTGGCTGGGGTGGGGGAAAGGCCAGAGGTAGCAGAGGGACTGGGGTGAACAGGGGAGGCTGGGAAGTCCTGGGGAGGAGGAGGATGTGGGGAGGGGTGGAGAAAGAGGGCCTGCCCGGTGCAGGCATTGTGCTGGGTGCTCCCCCTGCTGTGCTTGTGTTACTCAAGAGGCTCTGGAGCTACACAGTCTGCGTTCAAATTCCAGCTCTGCTGTGCGCTAGCCCTGTGACTTTGTGCCTCCATTTCCTCTTTTGTAACAAGGGGATATCAATAGCTCTGATTTGAACACACCGGCTATAAAAGACATTTTGGGGCCATTGGAACATTTTTATTTAGTTAGTTAGTTAGTTAGTTTTGTGAGGAAGATCAGCCCTGTGCTAACGTCTGCCAATCCTCCTCTTTTTTTGCTGAGGAAGACTGGCCCTGGCCTAACATCCGTGCCCATCTTCCTCCACTTTATATGGGACACCGCCACAGCATGGCATGCCAAGCGGTGCATCAGTGCGTGACCCGGATCCCAACCGGCCAACCCCAGGCCGCAGCAGCGGAGCACGTGCACTTAACCGCTTGCGCCACTGGGCCGGCCCCCATTGGAACGTTTTTAATATGCAGTATTAGATGTTTTAGAGAATTATTATTAATGTATCAGATGGGGCAATGGTATTGTAGTTATGTGGGACAACGTCCTTATTTTTTGGAGATTCGTGCTGAAGTATTTATTTTAAAATGTCTCAGAGAAAGAGAGAGAGAAATGAAATAAGTACAGCAAAATGTTAGCAATTGTTGGATCTAGGGGGTAGGCATATGGATTTTCATTTTGTCCCTTTTTCTACTTTTCATTTGACCATTTTTATAATAACAGTTATTTTTTTTCAAATAGTGCTTGCCTCATAGGTTTGTTGTGAAATTTTCATAAGTTAATACCTGTAAAGAGCTCAGTCTTTGGCATAGAGTAAGCAGCCAATAAACTTTAACTGTTATAATGACAATTTCATATAATCCCTTCAACACCAAGTAGGTTATATTACCCCCAGTTTACAGATGAAAAAATTGGGACCCAGAGATAATAACTTGTTTAAAGTCACGTGGCCTATTCTGGAACCAAGGTTTTTAAATTCCTAGCTTAATATTCTTTCTCACCACTCTGCCATTCAGAAATAAAAATAAAAATCATGTTTTGTTTTTTCAGGGCATGCCTTTTTCTGTAGCCTGCTTTCAGATATCAGTTGGGGATACTGAGCAGTGGAAAAGGAGAGGGATGTTGAGCTAGCAGTTCTGCAACTGGGAGCAGAGCCCAGCATGCTGGCTGCATACCTTTCCCCTCCATCAGGGGACAGACAGCTGAGTCTCCCAAAAGGTCAAAGAGGACATTCCAGAGGAGGAGCAGGATTTTTTCAATGGGAGAGAGGGTCCTTGGACTGATAGCTAAATTGTGTCCACAGATGCCAACCGTGGGTCTTTAAACCTCACAAACCTTTCCACTTCCATGTCCGGAGTATACATCTGCAGGGCCCAAAATAAGGTGGGCATTGCCCAGTGCAATGTGACCCTGGAAGTGAGCACAGGTCAGTGAGGGGTAAGTGTGGTTAAGGAGAAGACTGGTCAATGGTGGGGGTGGGGTTGTAAGAGAGGTGAGGCGGCCTATCTGCTGAGGTCTCTTGTCGTAATAGGACAAGGAGCTTGTGCTGGTCAAATGTTTGTACAAATGTTTGGTCAGTGACTGACCATATTCTACTTGACAGCCAGCCCTCTTCTTAACAGGGAAAAAGAGTGCATGAGTATGGTGGCAGGGGGGCAGTGGGATTGAAGAGGGGTGGCAACAGCTGGGTGTCTTCCTCTGACACCAAGACTTTTCCAGGGCCTGGGACTGCAGTGGTGGCTGGAGCTGTTGTGGGAACCCTGGTTGGATTGGGGCTGCTGGCTGGGCTGGTCCTCTTGTACCAACGCCGGGGCAAGGCCCTAGAGGAGGCAGCCAATGATATCAAGTAAGTGTCCCTGGTCTCTGCTGAAATGGGGTTCTCCTAGCTTCTCTTACATAGGCTGGGAATTCAGGCAGCTTTCATCTAATGGAAGGGTGGGCAGTGGTTGAAACCTCATTTCTATGGGCAGATTTTAAGGGAGAGAGGAGTTGAAGTAGGAGGGAGGGGAGAGTAAGACAAAGCATGTAGAAACTCTCCCCTCTTCCCCCTTCCAGTTTCTGACCTCTTATTACCTCTTTGATGACTAGGGAGGATGCCATTGCTCCTCGGACCCTGCCCTGGCCCAAGGGCTCAGACACAATCTCCAAGAATGGGACCCTTTCCTCTGTCACCTCAGCACGAGCCCTCCGGCCACCCCAAGGCCCTCCCAGGCCTGGTGCACTGACCCCCACACCCAGCCTCGCCAGTCAGGTCCTGCCCTCACCAAGGCTGCCCAGGACAGATGGGGCCCACCCCCAGCCAACATCCCCCAGCCCTGGGGGGGTCTCTTCCTCTACTCTGAGCCGAATAGGTGCTGTCCCCGTGATGGTGCCTGCCCAGAGTCAGGCTGGGTCTCTGGTGTGATGGCCTAGCCACCCATTAGCTAAGCCATCTGGTTTCTCTCCTTCTTATAGGGGTCACCCCTAGCACAGAGGCCTGAGGCTTGGGAGGGTGGCCATCTTCCAGACCTCCAGTCCTCTGTCCCCACCTTTCTTTACTATGGGAAAACTGAGTTTCAGTTAAGACCCAAACTTCCAAGAGGAAGAAGGAGAAGAAGAAGTGGACCTGGGATTAAGTAGAGCCTTCACCCCCTCCCCTAGTCCTCTCTATGACTGCAGTGGAATGCTGCTGAGATTGGCAGTCCACCCCACCCCCCAGGGCCCTCGTGGAGACTGCCAGTCAATGAGTCCTCCAGGCCCCCTTGATCTGTACTCCACCCCTATCTAACATCATCCTTCACTCCCACTCCAGCTCCCTGCATTAATATAACCTGTCCTGGTTATATTTAGCTTGGTTGGGTTTTTTGGGGGAGCAGGGGATAGGGAAGATATTTTTTAAACTAACTCCAAACGTGTGTTTTTGTTTTTATCTTGCTGATTTCAATAAAGATACATTGTGTTTGTATGGAAAGTGAGAGTCAAATTGCCTTTTCAAACTTGGAATTGCCGAAGTTGAGCTTCAGGATGATGCAAAGAGGACCCTTACCCAGGCTGTGTACCCAGGAGGAGGGCTTCTCCACGCAGCCTCCCAGCTTACTGGCTCAGGATAGCTCTTCTAGAGTCTTTAAAAGGGTCATTTGCTGTCAGGTGGCACAAAGGGAGAAGCACAAAGAGCCTGAGGCTGGGAAGACCCTAACCCACTCTGCGCAGCAAGGGGATGAAATTGGTGCACTTTCTGCTGGCTTGAGTGCTCACTGTTTGGGTGTGCAGGCACTTAATCTCCTGCTTCCTCTTCAAGGGCTGGGGAGAGGAACCTGGCATGCTCCCCTCTCCCAGACCATTGAATCCTGAACACACACATCTTCTTGCCCACCCAGCAGTGATGCCCCTTGTACTGAGGGAGAGCTGGGCATAGGATGTGGTGCAGGTGTACACCCCAATTCTACCATACCCTTTCCTGCCAACGGTGGCGTCTCTTCCAAGTCTCAGTTTCTCTCCCCACAAAATGGAGTGGCTCTGGGAGTAGGGAGGTGGTTGTAGTTTCCATGGAGACTCCTAATGTCATCCTAATGTAATGAAAGTGCCAAAGAAGGGATCTCAGAGGAGAAGAGAAGAGAGACTTGGAAAGAACAAGATTCTCTGAAGGGGTCAGAAAGGGTCTTCAGCCTGGGGCTCAGGCTCACAGTGTGAGAGGCCCCAAAGTGGTGATGTCATTTGCCAGCTCTCAGGTTATCAGAATGCCTCCCTCTTCCTCTAGGGTCACTCTTTCCCTACAGAGCTCCAGTTGTGATCCTTTCCCTTCAGGGTGCCCGCCCCAAGCCCAGCCCTTTCCCCAGGGCCTGACAGCTTCAGAAATTGGGAGGAAGAGGACAGAAGAAGGGAGTAAGGCTAGAATGTTTCCAGAATCGGGCCTGAAGGAGGGAGGAGCATTTCCTTACCTGAGGGCGTCTTCCTCTCCCCTTGTTTGCTCTGAGATAGCCAGTCTCGCTCCTGCCCAGCACGAGGAGGCCGCCCTGCGGGCACAGCTTTCCCTCCCCCAGACCCAGATACGCAGACGGACCAACAGACAACAGACGGCAGGACGCGGCCATGGCCTGGCTCCCGGGGCCTCTCCTCTGCCGGGCCCTGCTGGGCTTCGTCTGCATGAGTGGTGAGGAGGGAGGCCGGGCGGGACCTGGTGACAGCTGGGGACAGAGGCCTGGCTTCCCGGGCTCCTGGGGCCTCTCAGTCCCGCCCGCCCGGCGGGCTGCAGGGGCCCAGGAGGTGGCCGGGGCGAGGCCGAGGAGGGGGCGTCGAAGGCCGTGAGGGCGAAGGACAGAGGCACGCAAGCCGGCAGGGAGTTGGGCCTCTCGGGGAGGGTTTAACCACCGTAGCACTCTTGTTTTCCTTCCCCGACAAACACACCCTCACACCTGGCCCAGTCTCGGTCCTTTCACCCAGAAAAACCCGGGCGGGCGGGATGTGGGCTCCTCCCTCCCGGAAACCTCTGGTTTCGAGAAGGGAGGGATTGTGGGGGTCGGGGGCACAGTTGAGCTCTGGAGGAGGTGGGAGCCCCCAGCCTCCGCTGTGGAAGCGGCGGGGTGGGCCGGACCTCCAGACGGCCGGGATTTGGGGCCGGCCTCCGCTCCCGCTCCTCCCGCCGGCCTCCCTCTGCGTCCCCAGCCCCCGGGGCAGCCGTGGAGGTGAAGGTGCCCGCCGAGCCCCTGAGCGCGCCGGTGGGCCACACGGCCGAGCTGACCTGCAGCTACAGCACGTCGGTGGGAGACAACTTCGCCCTGGAGTGGAGCTTTGTGCAGCCTGGGAAGCCCATCTCTGTGTCCCATCCCGTGAGCTGCGAGCAACTGCGCCGGAGTGGGGGGCCTCCTGCCTCTTGGGGAGGGTGGGAGTGGGGGTTGGCCGGGAGAGGCAGGAACAGAAGGGGCACTCAGGATGAGGGCGCGTGGTCGGGGATCAGTATGCTTGGATGAAAAAAATAAGTGGACCGTTTCTAGATCTTCTTAGGACTGCAGTCTGCGTGATCCTCTGTCACATGTATATAGCTCTGTACTGTCTCCAACTTCCTCTCCCGTAGCTCCTATATCCGACTTCCCTGTGTCAGTGCAGTCCCAGCTTCAGTTAATAAACCCATTGAGGCTGTGTTGTGATTGGTAGTAGGATATGCTGCCCCTTCCAAGAATATTTGCATCAATTTTTTTTTTTTTTTTTTTACAAATTGAGAGAGCCATGCTTAGCTGAAAGCAATGAATCTAGTTCATTTAGCACCTGGAAAGGGGTGTTATTTGGGGACAGATAGACCTTCATGGTTCTGGCTACAGAGTGTCAGCTTCCCTGGCTGGTGTAAGGGAAGGGCCTCTTATACTCAGTTTTGAGAAAGGACAGCAGAATTGATGCCAGGCAGAAAAAGGCACATATGAGTGTCTTCTGTTTCTCCCCAGATCCTGTATTTCACCAATGGCCATCTGTATCCAACTGGTTCTAAGGCAGAGCGGGCCAGCCTACTTCAGGACCCCCCTACAGCCGGGGTGGCCACCCTGAAACTGACTGATGTTCACCCCTCGGATACTGGCACCTACCTCTGCCTTGTTAACAACCCGCCAGATTTCTACACCAATGGGTTGGGGCTCATCAACCTTACTGTGCTGGGTAAGGCAGCCTGGGGACCTACCAGCCCCCCATGTGCCATGAAAGATTACACTGGCCCCGCTGAATCCCCCCACATCCTGGTTTCCAGCCCAAGCTCACAATGGCACTGGGGACCCCAAGAGAAAAATGCCTCCTTCGCAAAGTCTTCTAGTCTAGATGATCATACTCCTGCTCCATCCAACACAAAGAATGCCTCCTCCCTCAGTCCCTGCTAACAAAGGGTTCCAGAGAGAAAGCCCTTCCCATATATGGGGCTCTGAGTCATGCCCCCAACCGCTCAATCTTTGGGGGAAACTCCCATTTGTAGTTCAGATTCTGTCCCTCCCTAGGTCAGTGGCGGGGAAGGGGAGTGGCCATTAAAGGAAGAAGGGCCTCTATCACTAAGCACCAATTTGTGTTCAGAGCTTCTGTCTCACCCCAAACTAGAGCCCACTCAGAGACAAGCAAACAGAAGAAACTATTAAAGAGGCTGGGGATGTTTAGATGGAGAAGAGAAGACCTAGGACGTGGTGTATAACAGCAGCATTCAAATATCTGAAGGGCTGTTCTGTGGAGCAGAAATTTCTCACTTCTCTTTGTGGACCCAGAAGGCAGGAACTGGGACCAATGGGTGGATATTACATTAACGCAAATTTTGGCTCAACACGAGGAAGAATTTTCTGACAATCAGAATTTCCTGTAGTGGAAATTTCCTGGGGATGCAGTGGTATGTGAACAGAAGTGGACCACTCTTTGGTAGGGATATTGAAGCAGGAAATCTAGCACTTCATGGGGGTGGGGGTAGAAGATCACTAAGGTACTATGTGTGATTTTTGCAGTGCCCCCCAGTCGCCCCTCGTGCAGCCAGAGTGGTCAAACCTCTGTGGGGGGCTCTGCTGCACTGAGATGCAGCTCTTCTGAGGGAGCCCCCAGGCCAGTGTACAACTGGGTGCACCTTGGATCTTCTCCTACGCCTTCTCCTGGCAGCATGGTGCAAGGTAAGGACCCAGGGCATCAAGGAAGAGGGGATTCAGGACCTGGGCAAATCTGCTTTCTCAACTCCACACACCCACAGCACCAGTTCCATACCTGGGGTCTGAGATAAACTGCTATACCTTCTCCCTGCTTCTTTTTTTTTTTTTTTTAAGATTTTATTTATTTTATTTTTTCCCCCCAAAGCCCCAACAGATAGTTGCATGTCATAGCTGCACATCCTTCTAGTTGCTGTATGTGGGACTCGGCCTCAGGATGGACGGAGAAGTGGTGCCTCGATGCGCACCCGGGATCCGAACCCGGGCCGCCAGCATTGCAGCGCGCGCACTTAACCACCAATCCACAGGGCCGGCCCTCTCCCTGCTTCTTTGTTGGCTTCCTGTATTGTTCCCTCCTGTCTGTCTTCCTGCACAGTCTGTGACTGCATAATCCTGGGAGCATTTCTCAGACTAAATGTACTCCTGATATCTTGGAAGAGAGTGGAAGGCAGGGGGCATTCTATGATTCCCACTTGTCTGTTTTGGGGGGATTTCTTTTAGATTTCTGAAGGATCACGAATCATTTCCAAACTTCCTAGAGAGGAAACTGAGTCAGAGTAGCTTGAATCATTTAGCCAGTTTCTTTGTAGGAACCATATAACCGGCTAAGAGCCTTAGCTTCTCAGCCTCCTTATGCTGGCTCCAGTGCCCTGTCTCTCCTCTAAGCCCCAGTCCCAGCAAACCCCTTTATCAATTCAGAGAGCCCTCGAGATCACCTCCTGGTGTGTGCTCTGCTTTCTAAAGTGAAGGTAAGCAGTTTAGAAAAGCATTGGGGTCAGCTTAGAGCCACCCAAGGGGATACAGTTTCTAGCAATCAAGCCTTTTTCCCCGACCCAGGAACCTGAAAGCACCCCACTCCGATTCCATTGCCAGTTTCTGAACCCTTCATGTGTGTGCAGTCTCCCCCTCCCCTGAAAAGGCAGCTGTGTAGAGTGGCAAGAACACAGAAGTTGTGGTGGCTTTGGGGTTTCCTCTCTGGGTCACAATTACTCTCCTTCTCTGAGCCAGTTTCCTCACTAATAAAATGAGGTTACTCTCTTCCTAAGCATGAAATGAAATATGCTTTCATTACAGTAGGTGCTCACTGTGAGTGGAGTGAGTGATGGAACACTTCCTCTTTACCATCTAGATGAGGTGTCTGGCCAGCTCCTTCTCACCAATCTCTCCCTGACCTCCTCTGGCACCTACCGCTGTGTGGCCACCAACCAGATGGGCAGTGCATCCTGTGAGCTGACCCTCTCTGTGACTGGTAGGGCATGCCAGGCAGAGGCCAGACTGGCAGGCATGGGCTGGGTAGGCTGCATAAAGCTATCTGAGGAAGGGCCAAGGAAGGTCTGCAGCTCTGAGGATCCTGTGTCTCCTTAGACCCTTCCAAAGGCCGCGTGGCTGGGGCTGTGATTGGAGTGCTCCTGGGTGTGCTGTTCCTGTCGATCGCTGCATTCTGCCTCATAAGGTTCCAGAAAGAGAGGAGGAAGAGGCCCAAGGAGACATATCAGGGTAGTGACCTTAGGTGAGCAGGAGGGCTGGGGGGTGGTGCAGAGAGGGAGGAATGGGCTTGGGTTAACAGTAGGTGACTTCAGCCCTCAAACTCTGAAATCTTTTGGGGTGTTTTGGGATAAGGAGGGCTGCTCAGCCCTGGGATTTGGTGGTGGTGGTGGTGGGGTGGCAGGATAGCCTGTATATTTGAGTGTGTGAGCGAAATGGAGGGGTTGGTTCACCAGCTCCCCTCACCCTCCTCACACTTAAAAGAATTTTTACTTTTCAGTTTTTAAGGCCTTTTCATACATCAACAGGATGTGGATGCCAAGAGTTGGATTTGCCCTGAGCACTCAGTTGAGTTTAGTTACCTAATGTGGGGCAGTAAGGAAAGGACAAGCAAAAGCTGCCTCTGTCGTGGGGTCCAGAATGGGGATCAGAGTAGTATTTCTCAAAGTGTGGTCCCCAGATTACCTGGAGAGAAATCACCAGGAGCTTGTTAAACATTCAGATTCAGGCCACTTGCTATCTCTCCCAAAGCAGAATCTCTGTGTGTGGAGGGGTGATATGGTTTTGATTGGAATTTTCATTTCAGCCAAAGTTCCACAGATGATTCTCATGCACAGCAAAATTTAAAAGTCCCTGGGTTAGAGGATGGGGGTCCTTTGAGGGATGCTTCCAGCCTTCACTAAGAAGTTGCCTGTATCCATCAGGGAGGATGCCATCGCTCCTGGGATTTCTGAGCAAACTTCTCTGAGGGCCGATTCTAGCAGTGGGCTCCCAGAGAGGCGCCCCTCTGCCAGCACTGTAACGACCACCAAGTCCAAGTTCCCTATGGCTGTCTGATTTCTCTCTCGATCCCTGAGGAGGGATATCAAGAATTAAAGCCTGTGGGTACCATATTGACTCCCTCTTCTTTCTGCCGGCACAGCAAATTCCTCTGCGCAGCCCAGAGTATTACCAATAAGGGAAGGAATGGCCTTGATGTCCGAGAGCTGATGCTGTAGGCGGGAAGTTTGGTTGGCTCCAAGTAGTAGGTCTTAACCTAGGTCTCTCTCCTCCTTTCCCCCTCCCCACCTCCACTTTTTGCTTTGGTCAAATGAGACTTGTTCAAGCTTCAAGCAGTGGCCTTGTACCCCAAACTCCCTCCCCTCTGGCACCCTCTGAACACTTGGACATTCCTCTTTATTGTTCACATTCCAACCCAGCACGGTCACATGCACACACGGAGATAAAAAAACCTTCCGGCCACAACCCCAGGAGCCCGGCGGGGGCGGGGCCAGCAGGGGCAGGGGCGGGGCCGCGGCAGACTCCTCCTACCGAGCCTCCCAGGCGCTAGGCGTTTGAGCAGACAAGAGCTGGAGAGGCGGCTCTCAGGGTGAGCTGGTGAGAGGGGAGGGCAGATGACAGGCAGGCGTAGGGATGGGGTGCGAAATTGGGACTTCCCTTCTGGTCAGAGCAAGGGGTATCCGACACCATAAACACCCTCTTCCCGTCTCTCCTGGCCCCAGATCCAAAGTTCTGGGGCTAGGCTGGGGCGGGAACGGCACAGAGACGCAGGGCGCCCCTTTCAGCTGCGCACAGAACGAAAGAACTTTTTTCTTTTTTTAAGGGAGTGTACTTGGACGACTCTTAGGGCGCCTTCCGCAATGCGCAAAGGGAGGCGCACGGAGGCTGCGGAGGCAGAGCGGCATGCTGGGTGCGGGGAGAGGTGGGCGAGAAGCAAAAGGAAGATTTGGGAACGCGGGGTTTGGGGGCAGGGTGGGGAGGGAGGGCAAATGGGGACCATACTATACTGAAGAACTAAGTAAAAAGCCATGGACTTAGCGACTCCTCGACAGAGCCTGCCTGGGAGAGGGAGTCTCTGGGGACGCAGGGAGGGCTCCTGAAGCTGGCAGGTTGGTGGGAAGGAAGGGGTCACAAACACGGCAGGGAAGTCTCGTCACTGCGAAGGGAACGCGGCATCCATCTCTCCTAGGGAACTGAGGAGAGAGAGAGTCTGAACACCTGCCTCTCCCGGTACTTCCTCTCCCCTTCCCTTCTCCTTTCCCGAGCCAGGACACTGGGGCGGGGAGGACCGGGGCCCCCAGTCACCTAGAACCCCCCACCCCGAGTCACTGAGCTGAAATGAGCCCGCGGCCGGTACGTGTGTGCGCTGCAGTGTGTTTATAGCCCCCGGCCGGGCTTGTGCAGCCAAACGGGAGTGACAGCGTATCTGTGTTGGTCCAGGTGTGTACCCATCGCAGCCTCAGGTGTCTACCCATCGCAGCCTCAGGTGTCTCGATGTATCAGAAAACCCGCAGGCGCAGGGTGTATTTTCCCTGGCTGGGAGTGGGTGAGGGCGGGCAAGAGGGAAGGGTTGGGGATTCGGTCCTTCTCTCCCACTCTGAGCTCCCACCCTGCCGCTTGGGAGTCGAATTCATTACCTTCGAAAACGCTCAGTTCTTCGGTCCAGGGTGGGGCAGAAGGGAGGGTGGAGAGAAAGAGAGAGACAGGTGAGCTCTCGGAACGCGCAGCACCCTCAGCCTCCTCCCACCACCCACCTCATGTCTCGGATTTCTAGTCCCCCACCCTTAGCTCCCTCCACACCCCTCTCCACCCCCCACCCCAGCCCGCCGTTTGTCTTCCTTGGTCCTCGGAGGAGGAGCGGCGGCGCTCTTCAGCGTCCCGAGTCCGGGAGAGGAGAACCGTCGCGCCCCGCCCGCCTCACCTGGCCTAGTCTCCGCTGGGGCCTCCGCCCGCGCCTCCCCGGGCGCCCCCAGCTCCGCCCGGCCCCCCGGGGCCCGGGCCCTTCCGGCCGCGTTCTCCGCTCTTTATCTTCTTCCGCGCCATGTGGCCCCGGAAACTCGCCTGGATTTTGGCAGCAGCCGCGTTGGCACCAGGATCGTCCAGCGGGATGTCTAGGATGTCGTCGTCGGGCTTGGAGCAGGCGCTCTCCTGGGGGCGGGCAGGGGGTACTTATAGGGTAACTGAGCCGAGACCCCGCGAGGATGGGATAGGGGGAGAGCCTTGGGGGATTGAGACGGGGGCGACGCGGTGGCGGGAAGTGCAGAGAGGGGAGCCACCGGCGTGGAGAAGGGCTAAGGCAGGGGGCCGCGCGCTGGTGTGTGTGTGTGTGTCCCTCCCGGGCAGCAGCAGGCAAAAAGGAAGGTTCAGGATCAGGTGGATACAGGTGTGTTCCCAACTCAGGAAAGAGAAGTGCACGGTGGGATGGGATACAAGACAGCCAGATAGCCCTGAGTCAGCGAAGGGCCCATCACCGTCAGCCGAGTTAGGGGAGCTGCAGAGCTAACTGGAGGGTGGGATTGGAGGAGCAAAGTAAACAGCAGCAGGGACTCCTGGATGACTGGATGAGGCTGCCCCTCCCCCTGTCCTCAGAGCGCACCTCCACCTCAGAAGGGCCCCTTTTGAGTCCAGGATTCCCTGGGAGAGGGTGTAGAAGAATCAGTAGGAAAGTCCCTTCCCTGAGGGAAATCACACCGGAGCTCAAAGCTGGAATTAGAGTGAGGATGGGGCTACCCCTCAGTGAGTCAGCCTCCCTCCACCTAGGAATAGAGGACCAGAGACTGTTTTCCCACTGACTCTCCATTTTCCATTGCTCCCAGGATGTAGAGAGGAGATGATCTGGAAGATGCTACAGAGAAAAGGCTTCACTCCAAAAAAGGACAAAGAAAAGATAAGCAGGAGCAAGAAGCCCTTTCCCTGATGTGCACATGAGAAAGGAATTACGACAATAGCTATCATTTAAGCACTTCCCCTGTTCCCAGCCAGTAACACAGTGTTTTACAGACATTATTTTATTTAGCCTGACAACAAAGCTATGACGTATTTTTTATTGTTATCCTAGTTTATCTCTAATAAAATTGATTAGAGTGATGATTAGAGTGTTTATAAACTCTAATTGATGATTAGAGTGTTATAGAGGTCATACAGATAGCTTTCAGTGGACCTAAGCACCAAACCCTTGTATGTCAGAGTCCAGAGTCTATTTTTAACCCCTACTCTGGATAGGTAGGATAGGTAAAGGCAGTCAAGAAAATGAACAAAGCTCTACCATTTCTAACTGCGTGGTCTTGGGCAAGTTATCTAATCTTTCCCTATCTCAGCTCATTCATCTGAAATCAGGATAATATCTACCTCTATGGGTTGTGCGGAAGAATCAACAACATGACATATGCATAAATTTTCTGGCACAATCTAGTTGCTCAATAAATGGTAGCTATTATTATGATTCTTTTAAATAATAATACATTGTTGTGAAATAGTTGTTTGTATAGGCCAAAAGTGGTCATATAAAAATAATTTCATATGGTTCAACCTATTGATAATCAGACCCACCCCATGCCCCAGGTTTCTGTTTCTCCCACAGCCTGCCCTAGCTGAGAGGAGAAAGGGTTAGGGCATTAATGGTATTGATTTCAGAGGCAAGGCTCTGGAATGGAGAGGACCTCAGCCCCTGAGCCCCTTTGTTGCTTAATATTACTCACAGTGTTAATGTGCGTGGGGATGTGGATGGTTACTGCATAGTCAGAAGGGCATTTCTCCTTTGATCTGACCCTCTAGCTTCTAGAAATTTGTCTTCATTTTTTTTTTTTTTTTTTTTTGCCTGAGGACTTCTGCTTTCACTGTGTTTTGCTTCCTGGGCATGAGATGACCAAGGTCTCACTTGGTAATAGTAATTCAGTTCTCTTCCTTTCCCCTCTCCACCATCACCCATCTCGTTCCAGGAGTGGGATGGGTATGAGTGGGGCTTCGGTGATCATTACCCCACCAAGTTTTGCCCCAGGAGCACAGGTTTAAATCCCAGATGCCTAAGCCCAAGTTTACAAATGGCTTCCCTCATTATGCTTCCCAAGGTGGTCTTCATTCCCTGGGCTTCAAAGTTTTTCAATTTGTGCTCAAGATGCCCACAATTGATTTAAATGCAGTTAAAAGGAGTTATCAAGAGGCCAGTGTGGTTGTGGAGCGGCCCGACACACTCTTTTTGTCTTTCCCAGGTCTAGTGCTCTCTCCCGGACATTTTATTCCCCACTTGTATACTCTAATAACTCTCGTGGGTTCCTTGATTCTCAGAGCTCATGCCTTTCTTGGGACAGTCTCAGGGAACAGTGAAGCTTCTCCTCAAGAGCACAACTATCAAAAACATTCTTGACCCAGCTCCCCAGATGGCAGCTGTGGAGGCTGAGCGGAGGAAGGGACATCTCCCCCCACCATGCTAAGACCGACCTGCTGGCACCACCCACCCTGGCTGGATCTAGAATGGAAACCTGGAACTACAGGCAAAGCCACCCCCAACACACTGCTCCTCCCCAGAATCAGCTCCCTCTCCCTCCAGCTGAGTTCTTAGGGTATTGCGCTTGGTGGCCTGTCCACAGGCAGAACTGGAGGGAGAGTAAAAGGAATCCGGAAGGGTCATGGAGCCTGGGTTGGCACCTTCCAAAGCCCAGATCTGATGGTGTCTGCCTGAGAGCTCCGTATGAACTGGGTGGGCTTCAGGAGTTGGGGGTGGGGGATGGAAATTGCACTGGTGGGCAAAACAGGAGCCATGGCTTCTGGTTCCAAATGGGCACATCACTTCACTTCTGAGGATCTCAGTTTTTTCAGCCACAACTAGAACTTGGCCTAGATGAATAAAGTCTCCTTCAGCTCCCAAGTCCTAACAGCTTTAGGAATTATCCCTGCCTACTACTTCTTATGTGCCAGGCCCTGTGCTAAGCACTTTGCACACATTACCTCATTTAATCTCCATCTTAGAGGTCAAGAAACAGCCTCAGAGACATTTTGTAACTTACCCAAGGCCACACAGCTGACAAATAGTGATGGAATTCAGAAGCCTGTGCTGTTAACCACTGCCTCAGGGCAGATAATTATTTTATGAATTCAGCTGGACCAAGTCAACTAGACTAAGCAAAAGAAAGCAGAGCAGTGGGATCCAAAAAAAAAAAAAACTGTTTCTTTGCCTTTTCATATTAAGTGAATGCAGAAAACTCATATATATATGGCTATGTAAATCAGCAACTGCTAATTTGAATAAGAGCTCTGTCTCTCGAAAAAAAGCATATCTGTTTTCTTCTTCTCATTTCTGTTTGAGTCTCCTTACCAAGGAGAAAGAAGGAAATAAGGCAGAACTAGGTGTTTCCCAAATACCCAGTCAGTCAGCAAGGAGAGCTGCAGAATGAAAGATGAAGAGGGCGCTGCCACTAGCCCCCTAGATGCAGTCTGTTCTCTCTACACATCCCAGTCACCTTCCAGCACTGAGCCCAGCCCTCCACAGAATGTGGATGCTCAAATCCAGCCCTGCCCCAACCCTCTGCCCCTGTCACCCCTCCTCCCTCTTCTTGCCCCCCTGCAGTCTGACAATGGTGCTGTCTCTTGCTCAGCCCTTTAGCCCTGCAAACCTAGGGCAGGGCCTGAAAGGGGAAGGCTCCTGTGTACAGCATGCCCTGGAAGAGGTGCCCCAGGGCCCTGGGCCACTGGGAAAATTGTGTATTTGCCTCCTCTGTACTCTTTGGGTGGTAGCTTCTCCTTTTTTTTAGGGGACACTCATTCCAACCATGCCTACCAATCCCTCAGCCTGACTTCCTGGGCACTCAAGAGCATGGTCCAGGGCAGACCAGAGCCTACAGGCAGTGGCCCAACATCCTACCCTAATTGCTCCTGTAGGCACCTGTGGAGACAAGTTACATTCCTTCCTTGACTTCTTGGATTCTTTGCTTTGCCATCTCTTTCCACTGACCATGGGTCTTGCCTTCCTTTCCCTGTCATTCTCACCATCTCAGCAATATTCCCTTCCCTGCCCCTCCCCCCCAACCAACTCATATCCAGAAACCACCACCCATTTATTTTCTCTACTTTATAAAACACTCCTGCGGGGTTGAGGCGGTCTTCCTCAGTGGAGCCCAGGAACCTCCATTAAGAGACCATTCCCCCTTTCACAACCAAAAATTGCTTCCCAGAGAATAACAAACAGAAAATTCTGGAAGCAGATATGTTATCAGGGCTTTCTCCAGGGGGTGGGATTGTAGATGACTGACGTTTCTTTTTTATACTTTTCTTTAGTTTTTACATTTTCTATTATGACCATATTACCATTTAATGAGGAAAAAAATAGTAACTATTTAGAGGAGAGGACGAAGTACAGCTATTTGAATCAGACAGTGCTATGTTTGAACCCTGCCTCCACACTTAGAAGCTGTGCTGCCTTGGGCAAATTATTTAATCCTTCTAAACCTCAGTTTGCACATCTGTAAAATGGGAGAAATAATATCTACCTCACAGGGTTGTGGTGATGGTTAAATATAAAGTGCTGGGTACATGGTAAGCATTCACAAATTGACAACTATTATTAATATTAATAACAGTTAAAATCATAATAACAACTACAACAACATGCCCCTAAGTTTTTCTGCCTCTTGGTACCCAGACATAGGGAAATCTCGGCTCTTATAAACTGGGCTATCCTTTCCTTCCAAGCCTCACCTTTTCTTTTCTTTTCTAAGCCATGGGGTGGACGGTGGGGGAGCAGGCAAAGTCATAACCTCTTGTGTCATTAGCTGGGTTGGCTGAATGAGAATACAGGATTTTGGAGTAGTCTTTCTCCATATGTAGGAGCAATAAATAAACAAATAAATTTTATATATGTATCATCACTCTACTCTAGTGAGCCAGGAGCCAGGTCCTGTGTCAGGCGTTTTCATACCCGAGTCCCTTAACAGCAATCTACTGTGGCATCAGGCAGTTGCCAGCATCCAGGTCTCCGTGTGGGCGCTAACAAAATGCAAACACTTCCTTCCCTCGCCAGCAGGGTTCTCTCGCGGTCACTTCATCCAGCCCTCTCCAGGGCGAGAAGGCGTTGGGGGACGGGCCAACCCCTCCCCAGAACCACATTGACTAGGCTCTTTGCTACCCATCACCACTACTAGGCTAACCAATATGAACTGACTAACCCACCGTTCGCTGTACAGGGCGCGAGGTCAATAGGATCATCCTGCCCGCCCCCCGACGGCGGCGGCAGTGGGCTGGGGAATGGGGTGGGGGCGAAAAGCGAGGGGAAAGGAAAGGTGTCGCCGCAGCTTCGCTAGGCTACGGCCTCCAGCGTCTCTCTGGGGGAAGTTCCTCATCTCGTCTAAACTGCAGCTTCCCTGCTGCAGCGCCCTCCCGAGCTCCCAGTCCAACCCAGACTGCCTGGCGGATGGGCGCCCAGACGCCCCCGCGAGTTGGGGAGCATTTTTCCTAGGGCGTCCAAGTCAGACAGGCGGCTTCCACCACCCACCTCCCACATCTCCGCAGGCACCCTTATTGCTCCTAGGTCTTCTGCACCCACCTTCATCCCTCACTCGCCCTCCAGGGGGTTCTTGGGAGCCCCTTGCCCCAGACGAAGCTGCGTGCCCGTCCCCCAGGCCCTCTAACTTACGGTGCAGCAGTCCATGCTGGTGTTGGGGGTCCTTGGCTGGGGTGGAGGCTGGCGCAGGGTGGGGGTGGGGTCTGTGTGATGCTGGGTGGGGACTCTGGGGCCTTGAGGCGCCCGCCGACCCGCGCCGAACCAGCAAGTCTGCTCTCGGGTCCTCTCTCCCGCGCTCCGCTCTGCTCGCGAATGTAACCTGAGCCCTGCGGCCCCGAAGCCAATCAGGAGAAGCCTTCGGCAGAGTGGGCGGGGAGATTGGAGGGAGGACCACTCCCCGTCTTGGCTCCCCCCGCCTAGCTCCCCCACCTGCCCCAACCCCTCTGCCTACACACTTCCATCCATTCCTCCTACACACCCCATCCTCCCAAACTCAACCCCGTTGCTTGCCGAGGCGGCAGACTGCCAGGCAGATGTATGCCGACGCAGGCAGAAGAAGGCCCTCGACATCTCGGGCACAAATACACTCACATCTGGGCACAGCACCCCTCCCACCCATATATAGAAAATCTCGCACCCCTCATCCACCTCCCCACAGTTCACAACGTAGCTAGAGTCTCAAATATGGCTCCCTCTAAGTTCCCTCCCCCTCGGTCCGCAAAGAGCCCCCTAAGACGTGCAGTAAACAAGTCCCATCATCACTCTGCCATAGAAGGGAGAAAGCCGTCGGCACACAACCTGGTGGTGGGCACACGTAAACACAACAGCACACCAGCCCCACATATCCACATATGATGCTCCCCAGGCTCCCTAAAACGTGCATTTCGTTAACACGCACACACTACAGACATAACCTGCAAAAATAACTACACAGAACTTGTGCACACACTGTGCAGATAAAAGCAGACGCCCTGTTCTGTGCGCGAGGGCAAGTCACCTTAACTGAGACGTCTGCATTATGTATCTATCTATCCATCCATCCATCACCTGTCTGTCGTCTGTCTATCTATCTATCTATCTATCTATCTATCTATCTATCTATCTATCTATCTATCCATCCATCCATCTATCTGTATGCCCTGCACCAAACAAAATCATATGTGCACAACACCCATTTTGTATGTATTTATATGTAGATACTGACTTGGGAGAAACACCCTTCTGTCCCACTCCCCATACCAGACTCTCCCTTGCCTCTTGATCCACTGCTTCAGAATAAGACAAAAACTGGCCATTCCCACCCTTGCCCCTGGGAAGAAGAAAAATACCCTAAACCCCAGTATAGGGAGATAGCAGAAGTCATCAGCTCTTTAGGTCCGTGATGGAGGAAGGATGTGGGCTTTGTGAGAGGCTGGGAAGGGGAGATATGGGAGAGCATCTTGGTGGGGCAGCCTGCCACTTTTGTGGCCACCAACCTCCCCCAACCTGTCAGGGTACTAGAGCTGGCAGTGTGGCATGTTATGTGGATAGGGTGGGCCATCTCTGAGAAAACTAGAAAGAAAGTCTTGCTCAGCTAAGTTCCCAGAGATGGGAAGGAAGGAAGGATGGCTGCTGTCCAGGCTTGTTCACGGAAGCAGAGCAAAAAGGGGAGACTGCCCTGTGGCTCTCATTGGGATAGGGGATCCTGAGATAGCACTGCAGTGAATCCACAGCCACTGGCCAGTCATAGCATGGCTGTTACATGCTTTCTTGCTACCTGAACGTTTGGGCCATGGGCTTTTCTTGCCAAAGGGAAAATGAGTGGGAGGGAAATTCCAGTGGCCACTCATGATGTGAGGACAGGGTTAGACAGCTTGGGCCCACAAGCTGAGCTGGATGCTAGCTGGGATTCCAGGGCTTGGGGTATAGAGGTATCTCTCCCAGCATGTTTGGGACCCACCCACCCTTGTAACTGAAAATCTGTTCCCCAATCTGTCTCTGGCACATCCTCCATCCCCTTACCTCCACCAAAATGACAGGATGTCCTGGGAACTCAGGCCCTTGCCTAAACGATGGGCACATCTGAGGCCCTAGGTTGTGCCAGTTCCCATTGGACTTCAGCTCCAGAATCCAGAGGAGAGAGAAGGAGGAAATTGGGGGCAGAGTAGATATCAGGCCTGGACTCTGTGCTTTTCCCTTCCCAAATTAGAGCTGAGGAATTCGGGATTTAGTGAGTTTGCAGTAAAGTCTCCCAAGTTGCTAGGCAACATCCCTCTGCAGGCTGTGCTGCCTCTGGGCCCTTCTTCCTGCTGGTCAGAGCTGAAGGGGGGGAGGTGTCTTTACAGTGCCTCCTCTCCCCAAACTCCCACACAGGCAGCACAGCGTTTCCTTCTTCCTAAAAGACACCTTTGTGTGGGGTGAGGGCATCACTGAACACTCACTGGCCCATGGGAGACCAGATATGGCAACTGTCAGTTCCGACCACAAAACAATCCTTTCACCGTCAGCCCACTTGAGGCGCCTACGCAGAACTAGCCACAGTGCTTGCCCTGGGGATGGGCAGACTCCAAGGTGAGGAAAAGGTAGACAGAGAGGAAGGCAGAGGCCAGAGTGAGAAGAGAGACACACACACTCAAATATCCAGAGGCAGGAGCCTCATTTATTTATTTATTATTACTCTTATTTTTTTGGTGAGGAAGATCAGCCCTGAGCTAACATCCATGCTAATCCTCCTCTTTTTGCTGAGGAAGACCGGCTCTGAGCTAACATCTATTGTCAATCCTCCTCCTTTTTTTTCCCCAAAGCCCCAGTAGATAGTTGTACGTCACAGTTGCACATCCTTCTAGTTGCTGTATGTGGGACGCGGCCTCAGCATGGCCGGACAAGCGGTGCGTCAGTGCGTGCCCGGGATCCGAACCTGGGCCGCCAGTAGCGGAGTGCGTGCACTTAACCACTAAGCCACGGGGCCGGCCCAGGAGCCTCATTTAAATGACACATACACATAGGCCCAGTGGCACAGACACACACACTGTCCACACAGCCACAGAGACACATGCTGTGAGCACATTGCCACACTGACATCCAAAGACATACACAGAAGTGGCCCCCTTCACCACCATGCATCCAGGGTGCACATTCCCCTGGTAAGGGGCTCCTCTTCTGGACTATGTGGCCAGGGTTTGTCAGCAAGATGGGGTGGGTGGAACGCTGAGCCTCTGATTCTCAAATAGATGAGTTAGGAAAAGGGACAGGAGCAGTGTGGAATGCCTGGGTCTGGCTGCTTTGAGGAGCAGGCTGCCTCACTCCGAGGCTCTGGACCTTGGCAGAGCAGTGCCAGACGACACTCCCCACAGTGGACTGCCTGGCCTAGGCCCTGGGTGCCAAGGTCGGCTTTGGAGTATTACCTACTAGCCAGCTGGGCTTGGGCCCTGTAGTTGTCCTCCTTGACTCTGAATTTCAAATCTCTCCTCTCTCTTTGCCGGCCCCCATAGCTATTGAAGAGGAAGAACTGCAGGCCTGGAAAGGAGATGAGCTCTGGAAGGGCCGGGTTAGAGAGGGAGCTGGGGCACGTGGGTGCAGTGGGCTGGATCCAGCAGGGAGCATGGAGGTGGAGGGGCACAGAATAGAAGCCAAGGCGGGCAGAGGAGGAGATGGTTAGACAAAAGAGAAGATAAAAGATCGAGCAGTAGGAAGCATTTGGGGTCTAATGCAGACACTTCTTGGGACAGATGGAGGGAGATTTGGAGAGAGTTGGTCCTTGTAAGCAGAGAGAAAAGCCAAGCACGTGACAAGCTATTTGCCAATACTTGTGGCTTCCCCTCCTTGGAGTGGGCACTTTCTGAACATAACATCCCAGCTCAAGCCCACAGAGGGACTCCATGATAAGGCGGGGGTGGAAAGTAGGAGGCCTGTGCCTCTGGTAGAGCTGATCTGAGGGCTTCTTAGGTCAGGATTTTACCCATTTGAGTGGAGGGGGTGGGGGTACCAGGAAATTCAGTTTTCTGTGCAAATATTTCAGGTTTTGCTGTAATAGTATTTTTAGCAACTTGGTTGGCAGAGGAGGAGCCTGGGTACATTTTTAAAGGGGCCTCTGCCAGACTGGAGGCCTCCTCCCACCCTCACCCCACATGTCATAAAGGCAAGGGGCAGAAAGCATACAGCTCAAAGGGTGCATTCAAATGTAAAAATCGGGTTTGCTGGGCATTAGGTGACCATTAAGTCGTCTTCACCAATAGTCGTTATCCATCAGCAGCAGCATCATTATCATTAGCGGCATTATCAAGGAGAGTCAATATTTCTTGAACTTCTGCTGTGTGCAGGGTGCTGCTAGGGACACAATATAGAAGCTTAATATAATATACTCGGTAAGACAGGGGAGGGAATGAGCACTTCTGAATGAGTACTGTGTGCCATGTGTTGTGCTAGCCACGTTATATATGTGATTTCATTTAATTCTTACAACAATCCTGTGAGTTATGCATTATGTTCCTATTTTACGGATGAGGAAGTGAAGGCTTCTAGGGGTTGAAGAACTTACCCAAGGTTTCACCATCGTTAAATGGAAAAATCCAGATTAAAACTCAGAGCAGAATAATAACATTACCCTAAATCTCAATAGTGCTTTATAAACTGCTTCCACAGCCATGATTTAATTTGGTGCCCTTGAGAACTGAGTGAGAAAACATTAGTATTTTTAACCCCTTTTTCTGAGGAGGAAATGAGGCCTAGAGAAGTTAAATGTCTTGTGACTTGTCTGGTGTTAGATCTCTAGTGAATTGCAGAACTTAGGCTGAAATGCAAGAGTTCCAACTTTGAGTTCGGTGTGTTTTCACCTCTAAACAGTTCTGTATGACTCCCAGCACTCGCACTGGGTTAGAAAGAATGGGTTACAGTGAGTGGTTAACAAATCAGACATATTCTCTTCTCTCTTGGATCTTATCGTCTGGTGATAAAAATGCATGTGTATGTGTGTGCAAGTATATACATATGTATATAGCTATGCATATGTACGTATAGATATAGATGTATATATATGTCTATATATGTATGTTTGAGATATATTTATATCTCCTAAAGTAATAACTGATAGATGCCAAATGAATGATGCAGACAGTAAGTGTTATGGGACTTGAGATGTGGGAGAAATGATTGAGAATTTGGATGATCCAAGAAGGCTTCCTGGGTGAGGATGGTTTGGAGGAAGAATAGGACTCAGAGGAGTAAAGGGGGCTGGGAATGGGCAGAAGGACATCTCAGGCGGGAGCAAATGTTGTGAGCCATGCACTGCATCTAGTGTCACTGTTAGCTCATGCTGCCGCAGTCCAGAAAGGCTCTGAGGACAGCAATCTCA